GGTTGATGGCCAAATGTTAACACTGTTAACTGCTCAAGATTTGGTCGAAGTAAGTTTAAAAATCTTTAACTCGAAAATGAAGTGACAAATTTAACTGAACCAGATCTTTCTACATGAAATTATTGCAGATGAAAATCACTTCTGCTCTTCATCATGCGACAATTGCCCGTGGTGTACAATTCCTGCGATCAGTTGATTTTCATCCAAATCGTTTGGAAAAAAGATTTAATCCAGTAAGTGGTCATTTATTATTCGATCAATCATTGACATATGCTTGCCAGTTTTAATGGGTGTAAGTAATTCATTTTGGATTCTTTTTCAGGACTTGATCCACAAGGGAGCATGTCCGAGTGAAGTAGAACGATGGTCACATCACTGCGTATGTGAATGGCTAAAAGCAATTGATTTAGCTGAATTTACACCTAATCTTTTATGCGCCGGAATCCATGGTGCATTAATGGTAGGTTCTATGCAAATTCAATTATTGATGAATGATATGAATAATAAGGATTTTCCTCCTTATTTGATATACTACTTTATTTGTTGTCATTTCCATATCATTTTCGTTATGCTACCGAGTATTATGGATGCTTTGTTTTGAAATTTACAAAATTTAAGGTTTAAAAATCGAATTATCGTTCTCTTTTTAAATTTTTTCAAAAATTCAACTTTATTCTTTTCCTACAGGTGCATGAACCAACTTTCACTGCAGAAACATTAGCTGAAGTACTACAAATGCCTACTCACAAAACTCTTCTCCGACGTCACCTGGCAACTCACTTCAATCAATTATTAGGTCAAGATGTGATTAGTCATAAGCGAGCTGTGCTTGCACAACCACTCGTTGTCCAAATGTCGCCCTTATTAAAAATTAAGGCTAGTTACGATATTTAAATTTATTATTTGCAACTTCGGTGCTAAAAATTGAATAAACATTACAACCATTAAATTTAATTAAAAGTTGGTTTTTCTTATTGCATTAACATTAATTAAAAATTATTCTCATTAAGATAAATATAATTTTTCATCTTTTTCTTCATTTGACTGATGATGTCATTGGATGCTAAATGATGCAAAGTTCAACGCTTCTTCCATTTTTGATTTTATTGTGCTAAGGGAAAATAACTTTGAAATAGAATTCTTTTTTTTGCTTCGAAAGATATTTTCACATTCATTTGTGAAATTTGAATTTGTTGTGAAAAATATCACAAAAGGATTTATTATTTTGAGGAATTTTTTTTATAAATTTTTAAGATTCTCATTTATGAAAATTTTTAAAATAAACAGAACTTTTATTTTAGCTACTTAAGAAAGGTTTCCTTCTATCACGTAAGAAAGGAAAAAATGAGGTGTACGTTGAGCCAGACGAACCAGTCTGTCCACCTACTGATTCAAAGTCCATCCATAAAAAACAGGTTTACAATTTTTCTTCCGCCATTAAATTTTAGAATGAAACAGAGAACATATCTCTGTGAATATTATATATCGTCCGCTACCTTCGAAAATTTCAAAATATTCAAAATTTGTTCATAAAATTTATTTATTTCAAAAAAGAAATTATATTACTTAGCTATCAATCCATTTCAGAATGTCTTCCTTTAATCCTCTTTATTTCCTCCACTCTTACTCGTGATTACGGTCGTTTTAATGAAATGATAATTTCGAAATCGATTCATATGAGCGCTGTGGGTAGTCTTTAAAAATTACAGTTTCCGGTTTTTGTAGAAATTTTCCCCGTAGATTTCGGATTATGGTATAATGCTATATTGCTTGTCTAAAGCTTTCATTAAGTTTGCAATTCATTCCCTGATTAATTATCAATTTCGCGGTGGCATAATGCCATATCAGGACTTCTTGAATAAGTGGGAAGATTTTGACTTGATCTCGAGACCTTGTTAAAAAGTAATGCAATTGACAGAGAAATGGAAATGCTTGCTAATGGATAGAAACCTTATAAAAAGGTTATTTCATCAAGATCAATTAAAAAATACAATCCTGAAAGTGATTGATTATACCTGAATCTAGCTTATTTTTAGATTGCGGACAGTATTCTGGACTCGCTTGAATCATCAAACGTATAACATCCTATTTGGCTACTTGAAGCTTATTTTTCTTTTTGACTGTGCTCAATTCGATTAGTGCATTCTGAATTGATGTATTTATATAAACTACGATTTATGCTTAAGTGCTTGTTTTAATATTCATCTTTACACTTTCTATCCGATAAAAGTAACTCCACGTAGAATTTTTGAATTCATCATATCTCAGTAAAGTTTCTTCGATTTCATTCATCTTTATTTTTTGAACTCTCATGGTGCAGATTTCATTAAGATTTTATTTTAAATCTTAAGTTGTTCCTAGCAAGAGATGAATTTAATGCAGGATTTTATGACATATTTATCTAACTAATTGTATAACTTATTAACCTAACTATTTGCTCGTTTATCTATCCAAATGCCAGTTGATTAAATGTCCAATGTTTCTTTTTATCGCAGCATTTATTATTTGTTGGCTCTGTTTGCTTTCTCTTGATCCATACTGATATTTTGGTCACATTTTGCGTTATTTGGCTGAAAACGATTGTTGTTTTCAACATATTTCTTCTTTCCTTCCTTGTTACATGCCACTGAATTGTTAGGTATTAATGAATTAATTTTAAGAAATCGTATTTTTAATTTTAGCTATAATTTGAATTAAAATTCGATGTCAATGTTACTGATAAACTTCTAAATGATTAGTTTCAAATTACTTTAGTGGGATCATTTCTCAACAGTAGGGAATTTTTTTATACAATTAGCAAGCTTCTAAGAATTATCCTTCATGATCATCAATTGCTCGATGGTATGGGATTGATTTCCAGCGGAGAAACACTGAAATTTGTCAAAAAACCGGCTATTGCCAGCTGTTGACATTTTAATAAGATCAACTTGTTTTTTATATCTGAACAAAATATTTTTATAAATTTCTCCATGTTATTAATGCATTAAAATATTTTCCAAATTTTCGAAGTTTTGTATTTTCCTTTTTTTCGCTTTGATAATTCTGTGACTCGCAGAAAAATTATGTTTTGTTTGTATATTTGATATTTTGCATATCTTTTGTCCATAAAAAGTACACAGCTATATTGGCTTTTGTCGCATCACTTACGTCAACTGCCAATTGTTGCATCAAACGTTTTGATCGTAAGTTTTTCATAATTGTCATTCAAGTTTCTTCTTGAAGATTACAAGAAAAAGGTATATAATACTTGGAAATAATTATGCAGTAATTCTACTACAAATAATAAATTTTTCATGCTGCAGAAATTCATCCGGGTAAACATTCTTGATTGCCCAAGTAAACATCCTGCTTGTCTGAGTATTCTCCGTATAGTGTTGAAGTTTGATACGTACACTGATTGAGACTCTAACAGGACAATTTTTTAGAATGCAAATACCATTCTCAAGATTTTGAATCAGTTTTTTGGGATCAATTCTTCTGCGACATCAACCCAAACATCGGCAGCTGTAACTAAAAATAATAAGCCTATAGCATAAATTCGGGATGATTTACCTCCACCTGTTAATATTGATAAGTTGTCAGTGGTAATGGTTACATATTTGCATAGGCGAAATTGTCGAATTTTGTTTATTCCCTACTTCTGAAATCAATGTAATATATTTTTTGAAGAATTAGTTATGGCTACAAAAGTTTGAAAATTCTGCATACTTTCGGGAGTTAACTATTTTCGGCACAAGCTTTAAATCAACTTGTAGAACAATGGTTTTGATTGTAAGTTAAGGATCGAACGTTGAAAACTTCGAAAATGCATTGAATTCAATGAGGTAAAAGAAACTTTATGGGTTAAAGAGACTTCTTACCTAAAATTAGCATTTATCACTCATAAATTTGCATTCATAAATTCGACTTCGATATAGATTTTCATGTAGTTTATTCTTTTTTCCAAAATTATTTCGAAGTTTGGTTTCTAGGAAGTTGAAGCATTGCAATAATACCAAACGTTATACAAATAAACGATAAAGATTACACGAAATTCAGACAAGTTTTTTCAGAGTTTCTCATCTCACCACCTGGATTCTACAAATTTTAATGTGAAACAGAATTCTTACATAATGTTGAAAATTAAATGTTGGAAATCAATTGCAGCAATAGTACAATATGTGATATCGGTCATTTGATGTCCAGCCATTACTATCATCGTTATCTGTCATTGATAATATCTCATTCGACAAAGTAACTTGAAATTAACTGATCAAATTTAAGCAAGAACCTGAAAATACCAATATCATTATGCATATATTTAAATATCAAAATATACTGAAATTCTTTTAATCCTTTTGTTATTGTTTGTCAAAATAATATATCATTTCTTTGACTGGTTACGAAAAAGTATAGCAAATATTAAAAAGAACTGTATATTTTTAGAGGTCACTGCGTGTGAAGTCGCAGATCCTTTACAAATATAATTTAAATTGTATGTCTGGAAATCATTATTCAAAAAGTCCTCAAGTTTAACACGGTTATAAAAGTGACTTAATTGAGTTATACACATTTCCGGACTATAACATTCATTATATTGTAAAGGATCGCGTGAAAGAGGAGCGCCAATGGTGACAGCGCTAATTCCACTAGAAATTTGGCTTGAAGTGAAACCTAATTTAGCAAAAGTTAATATTGAAAATTTCATATTTTGTTTATAAACAGAAAAATTTTCAAATTGTTTTGCTCATTTTATCAGAGTCCATCAGAAAGTGTGCTGAAACTTTAACGCTGGCTGACATTATCGCCTCATCAGGAGTCTTCCACATCTATACGATCTTCAGCAATTATGTTACTTCCCTACAATTGTACTTTCATGAACGGTAATCCAAAAACAAAACTCAACTACTTGAGGTTTTATGTTGATTTTAGTGGTAAAGTTAAGTGGTAAAATTGAAACGTCCGATGGTAAAATTGCACGGATTCCAATAATGAATCCAATGATCGAATTTATCAAATCACCACTAACCTTTATCAGTTCACCTATGTGTTATTTCTTTAGCTGTTGGAAACTTTTGCAATTTATAGCATTACTTTTTGCAAATGAAGTTTTTTTGTTATCGATTTGACAAATCTTAAAGTATAAACGAATAAATTTAAATTTCAGTTTGCATATTAAAATTGGGTGAGCAGGAACTGCAGAATATGATGGTTGTTTGATGATGATAGTACATTTTTTTCTTTTCATTTAATTTATCTTGAAATTAAATTCCGTTAATACAACGGAGAAATTTTCCATTAAAAATTATAATGACTTATTTTCGATTCGGTCGTTAATTCATAAAAACTTTTATGTATTTTCATGCACTTTTTTCTCCTTCGAATTTAAATCCCTCAAATCTAAAATAAGGAACCCTTTATAAATGCAGCAATTCAAGAAATTAATAATCGTTGGATTCAAGATGTGAACTACTAAGAAGTTACTCTTTTTTTCAGAGTTATGCCAATCAAACTTGAAATTTAAGTTTAGCTCTCTTTTGTTTACAACTATAGGATAATATTATTATTTTTGGTTTAAATCCAAATAATCTCGTGTTTAAACTGAATTTTTTGAATGAAATCAGCTCTTTAGGTTTCAGTTTTTCTTTGGAAGATCATTTCAATTCCAAAGAACATGATCACATTGAGTTTAATCGAAATTATTTACAAAGGATAGCAACTGATGAGTTGGACCCAATGATATGTACACATAGAGCCGTGTTTGATGTAATTCTGAATAGCTATTTGAGCAACCTATATTGTTGAAAATCATTTAGTAAATAGTAGCCAAGAAAATGCATCGTCAATATTGCTGTTTAAATGTTTTATTCATTTAATGTTTATATATAATAAACTTCAATAAACTTTGCTGAATGTTTGCAGCTGTGAAAAGATAAACATTTGACTCCATATAACTTAATATGATAATTTATAATTTAAATATTTTTAAGTTTTTAACTTTCACTCAAAATTCATTTCACTTTTTTAGGTTCAATTCAAACAAGCTATTGTTTGTTGAATTGGGAATGCAGATGTTCGAGATCGTTTCTCGGCTGAAATGTCAATAGTTGTCATTTGTCGTTGTATTATGATAATGATATTCATTCGTTGGTGTAAAAGGAGACAAAGAAAAAGAAGTGGTTACAATTTACTGTAATAGTTTAACTGAACAATAGAAGCTAATAAAATATTATTTTAGAATTTCAAATTTCTCTTGAAACGACAACTTTCAATAAATGTTGGATTTTTCGATTAAAACTAAAACTTCGCCGGATGTTACAATGGGAAGAAAGTTGGAGAAAATGGGTGGAAGGAAGAAAGGTAGGAAAGAAAAGGTAGCAAATTTATATTGGCATTCAAAAAGATTCCCATTAGCAACTATTTTTGTTTATTTAAATTTATCCTTTTTTTATGCATTATTTCTCATTTTCCATTCTTAGAAATTAATTCGCTATTTTGTTCCGAAATTAATTTGCTTTTTGTTCTACACAGAAAGAACTAAAATCAACTAATTAAATAGCAATTTCACGATGTCATTTATCAATAAATGCTTCATTTGTTATTAAATTTATTCCTAACAAACTTTAATTATAAGATCGAAAGCTAAAGGATATTAATGAATTCAATACATTGGGAATGAAAGCTGAAGTATTTGAAATATTTAACTGTTAGTAAACAAATAATTAATTTAGCTTTTAAAACTAAAACTTACTAACTTGTATAGTCTCGCATATTTTTAATTGACCAATGGTTGTTATCCTACTTGATGGCATCAAATAGGATGATCATTGGTAGGATAACTCACTATACTTATTCTTTGTTTCAAAAATAATCTAATTTTTAAATCCATTGAATTATTATCATTCTCGATGAGATCAATAATCAAGATCGTTGCTAATAGAATCAAAGAAGATAAAAAAACAAAAAAAAACGATATGAAGATTTTGAAATGATAATTACTATTTTTAGAAGAAGGAAAAATTGATATGCGCTGAATAGTAGTAATATTAATTATTAATTAATAAAAATTTCACAAATTTGGATAAAAAGAGCGATATGCTTT